AAGAATCACAGTGTTGACTTCAAATAATTGAGCGTTTTATTGTGTTTCTTTCCTTGTAGAGACTTAAAACCTGAGAATATTCTCCTCGATGACCTTGGTAAGTAAGAGAGCCTTTCACCTCTAAAGCATAGACTTTGTTAGACGGATACAGAAAGTTAATGTGGACTCAGCCAATTAATGCAGGATAGAAACAGTCACAAAAAGAAAAACATTTTGATATATGTTTTTAGAAGAATAAAATCTAAATTGTCATTCTCCTGTATTTAGGAAGAAAGCAGAGATGGTCAACATTTTTAGTAATTATATAAGAAGAGTTTTAGAAACATATTAATGTAAACTCAAAGTCGGAACATTTGTGGGGCTTGCAGGTAGCATGGTGGTTAAGGGCGCTGGACTCCCACATGGTCAACCACGGTTCGAGTCCTGGACCTGGAGGCTTGCTTTCTCACTTTCTCTTTCTTTCTCTCAGTCTGTACCTTCCTGGTCAAATGAAATAAATAAATAAATAAATAAATAAATAAAAAGAACATTTCTCTCTCCTGTTATTTACTGTTGACTAACATCTTGCTTTATTCCATAGATTTTAATATCCATGCCCCCTAAACATTGTCATGCCACACATGGTGCTAGCCTCTTGTCATCCACCCATCACAGAGTCAAGCACAGACTACCACATGTGGACCTGAGAGTGGATGAGGAATGGCCCTTTGGGCTGGCTCCTTGTCAGCAGCATGGTGTCCACTCAGATTGTGGTTTTTCTGGGTAATGACCATTCTTAGAATCCAAGAGCGGTCACCACTTTTAGGATGGCAGCTACATATCTACATAAGCATTGATAATAAGGAGCTATTTTTGAGTAATTTTTCTTGGCTAGGAAGAGTATTAAAGTCTAGTAGAGAGTATAAGACAAGACCAAAGTAACTCCTGCAAAGAAAAGCACATGTATTCATGCAAAGAGTCCAGAAGGCAAATATGGGACGTTATTATTATTATTTGCTATAGTGTCCATGTGCTCACCGGAGAGAGACAGAGAGAAGGAAAGTGAGAAATCACACCCAGGGAATAGCCAAAAGGGACTGCCCTTTTCTTTCCTTCTCCTCTTGGGATGCTGAGCATGCACACACATGTGCCCGGCATGTTTTACAAGCTAGCAGGTCTGGGGCTTGAATGCAAAGTTGGCTATGTGGGATCCAGCTGCCTTAACCTTCGCCTCCAATATGGGATACATTCAACATGTATGTCCTTTCATACTTCTGCCAAATATTATACTTTCATGGTTGTTGTCTAATTTGTAAATTAAACCCCCACTCTTTGAAGAAGGAGAGCGTTGAAATTCTCATTTTATGAGAGGCAATGCCAAGATTTAAGAAATGAATTAACTCGAGTGTGTCCATAGTGTCTGTGTCTTAACCTGTGTTTCGTTCTGAGTGTTGTCCCATTAACCAGAGGTAGCATAAAAATGACTTTTTTAAGGGAGGACATGGGCCAGCAGGTGGTATAGTGGTTAAGGTGCTGGACTCCCGCATGGCCAACTGTGGTTCAAGCCCAGATCTACAACTTGAAACTCATGCTGGGCACATGTGCATGCATGCTTAAAATCCTGACAGGAGAAGAAAGGTGAAGGGATTGTGGCGTAGCCATCTATCCTGGGGGGGGGGGTGATTTCTTACTTTCTGTCTCTCATGTGCCCAATAGCAAAAGTCTCTCAAAATAAAAAAGGGAGGACACAATTGTATATGGAAAATAGAGTGATTTCCAAGATGTTAATTGTGAAAAAAAAGTAAGGCACAGGGCAATATGTAGTATGCTACCTTTTGTTAAAAAAAGAAAAAAAAAAGAAAGAAAGAAAAGAAAAGAAAAAGAAAGAAAGAAGAGAAAGATAACAAGGAGTAGCCCAGTCATAGCAACACAGAAGTAGCACAACACTCTGCAACTCTGAAAGCCATATGAAGGTTTGGGATTTGATTACAAGGACAACCTATACACACTGGGGACATGTGTGCCTGTCACCCTTGTTGTCTAGGACAGGTTGGGAAAAGGATGGCGCATGAACCCTGTTGAAGGTGCTTCCTTTTTTCTTTCTCTGTTTTTTAATCACCAAAGGGCATCTGCGTTTGTCAGAGACAGAGAGGGAGAGAGAGAGAAAACCATTCCCTCTATGGGGTGTGGATGTGCTGCAACCCCGTCTCCATTTCTCTGTCCTGTGGGATTTGGGGCGTGCATACCTATGCAACTGGCACATTTTACAAGCTGAAGGGGCCCAGATTTGTACTGTGGCATCAGCCATTGGGATCTGGCTCCCTTAACCACCAGGACACTGTGATGCCTCCCCCCCCCTTTATCTTTCTCTCATGAAGGAAATAAATAAATGAATAAACTTCAAAAGAAAAAGAGAAAGGAAATAATAATATATATTTGGTTTTAATTGTGTATACTTAAGCCTAAAAGAAGCATCAGCAGAGTCATATAAAACTACTAAGAGGAACCAGCAGTTAGCATGATGGCTATGTCGCTGAACTCCCATGTAGCCAACCACAGTTCGAGTCCCAGACCCAGTGGCTTAAACTCAACGCCGGGCTCCCTGGGGGGGCGATTTCTCGCTTTCTATCTCTCTGTCTCTCTGTCTTTCTGGCAAGTGTACATGCCCTATAGCAAAAACCTCTCATAAATAAATAAATTAATTAATTAACAAACAAACAAACAAACAAACAAAACTATTAAGAGTGATCACAGGCTGACTATGGCCTACTGGTTAAGGGAGCCAGATCCCAAATGGCCAATCTTGTGATTTGAATCCTTCCCCAGTGGCTTAACAAAATGCATCAAGCACATGTAGAAAATCCTGCCAAGATGAAGAAATATAGAAGAAAGGATTGCAACATGACCACGTCCCATTGGGAGGTACTTTCTTCCTCTCCATTTCTAGACTCTGTCTATCTCTGTCTCTCTGGTTAACACATGAACCTCTGGCAAACTAAAAAAGAAAAACAATAAAAAGAAAAAAGTCTTGTATTCCTCATTTTAATTCAATTACCTCCATAAAGGCCCTGTCTCCAAATATAGTCACATTCTCAAATCCTTGGGATTGAGACCAATATAACAATGGGGAGGGGAGCATTATTTGTCTAATAACATTTAATTTCATGAACAAATAAATGACAAAAAGAAGCAGAGAAGGGGCCAGCTGGTGATGTTAGGGTTAAGGTGACTGGATCTCACATGGCTGAATGTGCAGTGCTGGCCCTGGTGGCTTGAAAAACATGCTGGGCATGTGTGTGTACATGTCCCAAATCCCAAGAGAATGGAGGAGATGGGATTGTGGCATGGTCATCCCTGCAGGGAGTGATTTCTCACTTACCCTTTTTCTCTCTTTC